TCTTCAATAAAATTTAACACTGCTTCATGCTAAAAGCCTTCAATAAACTAGGTATTGATGGTATCTCAAAATAATAAGAGCTATTTATGACAAACCCACAGCCAATATCATAGTGAATGGGCAAAAACTGGAAGCATTCACTTTGAAAACCGGCACAAGATAAGGATGCCCTCTCTCACCACTCCTATTCAACATAGTGTTGGAAGTTCTGGCCAGGGCAATCAGGCAAGAGAAAGAAATAAAGGGTATTCTAATAGGAGGAGAGGAAGTCGAATTGTCTCATTTTGCAGATTACATGATTGTATATTTAGAAAACTCCATCGCCTCAGCACAAAATCTCTTTAAGCTGATAAGAAACTTCAGCAAAGTCTCAGGATACAAAATCAATGTGCAAAAATCACAAGCATTCCTATACACCAATAATAGAGAGCCAAATCATGAGTGAACTCTCATTCACGATTGCTACAAAGAGAATAAAATGCCTAGGAATACAACTCACAAGGGATGTGAAGGACCTCTTCAAGAACTACAAACCACTGCTCAAGGAAATAAGAGAGGACACAAACAAATGGAAAAACATTCCATGCTCATGGATAGGAAGAATCAATGTTGTGAAAATGGCCATATTGCCCAAAGTAATTTATAGATTCAATGCTATCCCCATCAAGCTACTACTGACTTTCTTCACAGAATTAGAAAAAACTACTTTAAATTTCATATGGAACTGAAAAAGAGCCCGTATAGCCAAGACAATCATAAGCAAAAAGAACAAAGCTGGAGGCATCATGCTACCTGACTTCAAACTATACTACAAGGCTATAGTAACCAAAACAGCATGGTACTGGTACCAAAACAGATATATGGACCAATGGAACAGAACAGAGGCCTCGAAATACTGCCACACATCTACAACCATCAGATCTTTGACAAAACTGACAAAAACAAGCAATGGGGAAAGGATTCCCTATTTAATATGGTCTTGGGAAAACTGGCTAGCCATATGCAGAAAACTGAAACTGGGCCCCTTCCTTACACCTTGTACAAAAATTAACTCAAGATGGATTAAAGACTTAAATGTAAGTCCTAAAATCATAAAAACCCTAGAAGAAAACCTAGGCAATACCATTCAGGACATAGGCATGGGCAGAGACTTCATGACTAAAATACCAAAAGCAATAGCAACAAAAGCCAAAATTGACAAATGGGATCTAATTAAATTAAAGAACTTCTGCATAGCAAAAGAAACTATCATCAAAGTCAACAGCCAACCTACAGAATAGGAGAACAAATTTTTGCAATCTATCCATCTGACAAAGGGCTAATATCCAGAATCTACAAGGAACTTAAATTCACAAGAAAGAAACAAACCCATCAAAAAGTGGGTGAAGGATATGAACAGACACTTCTCAAAAGAAGACATTTATGTGGCCAACAAACATATGAAAACAAGTTCATAATCACTGGTCATTACAGAAATGCAAATCAAAACCACAATGAGATACCATCTCATGCCAGTTAGAATGGCAACCATTAAAAAATCAAGAAACAACAGATGCTGGAGAGGATGTGGAGGAATAGGAATGCTTTTACACTGTTGATGGGACTGTAAATTAGTTTAACCATTGTGAAAGACAGTCTGGTGATTCCTCAAAGATCTAGAACCAGAAATACCATTTGACCCAGCAATCCCACCACTAGGTATATACCCAAAGGATTATAAATCATTCTACTATAAAGACACATGCATACGTATGCTTACTGCAGCACTATTCACAACAGCAAAGACTTGGAACCAACCCAAATGCCCATTAATGATAGACTGGATAAAGAAAATGTGGCACATGTATACCATGGAATACTATGCAGCCATAAAAACGATGGGTTCATTGGATTTGCAGGGACACGGATGAAGCTGGAAACCATCATTCTCAGCGAAGTAACACAGGAACAGAAAACCAAACGCCGCATGTTCTCACTCATAAGTAGGAGTTGAATAATGAGAACACATGGACACAGGGCGGGGAACATCACACACCAGGGCCTATCAGGGAGTGGGGTGCTAGGGGAGGAATAGCATTAGGAGAAATATCTAATGTAGATGATGAGTTGATGGGTTCAGCAAACCACCATGGCATGTGTATACCTACGTAACAAACCTGCACGTTCTGCGTATGTATCCCATAATTTAAAGTACAATTAAAAAAAATTAAAACAGTTGAACTCATGGAGAGAGAGAGCAGAAGGATGATCACCAGAGGCTGGAATGGTTGGGGGAAGGGAGGATGGTAATGGGCACAAAAAATAGTTATAAAGAACAAAAAATAGAAAAACTAAATAAGACCTAGTATTTGCTAGCACAGCAGGGAGACTGTAGTAAAAAATAATTGTACATTAAAAAAAAACTAAGAGTATAACTGAATTGTTTGAAACAAAGAATAAATGCTTGCAGTAATTACCCTCATGTGGTAATTATGCATTGCATGCTGGTATCAAAATATCTTAGGTAACCCATAAGTATATATCTACTATAGATCCACAAAAATTAAAAATAAAAAAGAAAATAGGTGTAAGAATCTTTTTTTTTTTTTTTTTTTTTGAGACGGAGTCTCGCTTTGTCGCCCAGGCTGGAGTGCAGTGGCCGGATCTCAGCTCACTGCAAGCTCCGCCTCCCGGGTTTACGCCATTCTCCTGCCTCAGCCTCCCAAGTAGCTGGGACTACAGGCGCCCGCCACCTCGCCCGCCTAGTTTTTTGTATTTTTAGTAGAGACGGGGTCTCACCATATTAGCCAGGATGGTCTCGATCTCCTGACCTCGTGATCCGCCCGTCTCGGCCTCCCAAAGTGCTGGGATTACAGGCTTGAGCCACCGTGCCCGGCCAATAATCTTAATTAAAATATGAGTAAAAGGAATATAGCAATATGCTGAAGAAGTAACATGTCATGACAAGGTAAGGTTTATTTCAGGGCTGTACAAATGGTTCGATACTGGGACATCTTAGGGAAAAAAAGTATAGATAATAAAAATTACATACAATTATATAATTCACAAAAAGCTAATGCTAATGTTTTGGTGAATTTTCTCCGTTGTGTGTGTGTGAGAGAGAAAGTGATAGTCTTTCCATAAGTGAAATTATACTGTTGTATGGCTTATTATTGTCATAACTTTAGTTCTTCTAAAATGTAGATTATAATGGACATAATGCTTTATCACATGATTATAATTTTAAAAGTCTTTTATTCTTAAATACTTTAGATATCTTCAATTTTTCATTAGTTTAAATAATAACAATAAAAATTACTATTTTTAAATAACATCATTTACCATGGTAAATAAATTCGCCATGATGGTGAATGCTTTTATATTTAAATCTTTGTCTGCATCTGATTCTTAGGCCAAAGAAGTAGATTATTTGTCGTGTGTTTCAGTTGTTTATGTCATGCATAATGGATCCTCTAGTGGACAGAAACAAATTCAGACAATACATTTGTGTGAATTAGGAATATATTTGGCTGTCAGTAGCAGAAAACTACCCTTAGAGTAACTTACACAAACTGGGATCTGTTTTTCTCCACAGTAAGCAATGCGGAGGCAAGTGGCTGCAGGCATTGGCTCAGTGGCCAGCATTTCTGTGATTTTTAAAAATCTTGCCTTCCAGCTCCAATCGGTTGCCTCTGCTCAACCTCTTCCTGACTTCCTTAGTTGGCATTCAAGTAAAAATGCAGGAAAAAAGAGGTTGAGCAATGCCAACCACGACTTCCCTTTAATCAGGAAAAGCAGAAGGCCTCCCAGGCCCTCAGCATACTCTGGATCTCGCTGGCTAGCACTGGTCACCCGGGCATCCCGGATTGCTGGAGAACTAGAGAAAGCAAGTGTCTCTCCTGGGGCTGGGCTCACTGCTGCTTCCAATAAAAGGACTATGTTACAAGGCAGGTGAGGGAGGAAGGAGATTGGGTAGGCAACCGAAAGTACATACTTCAAGATTTATTTAACATTCTTAGCGTGGAGGATGCATCTATATGCATTATCCCAATCACCCCACTCTTCCCCACACACTTTAGACTAAGATGGGGTAGATTTATGTACCACTTGCTTTCATAAATTTTTCATCAGTTTTGTATAACTTTAAAAAGCTACAGTACTCAAAGAGCATTCATTTCCTGGATGCAGCCATTTAATTTAAGGTAAATAACTGTATTACCTGACTGTTAGCTTCCTCCAATAACTTTAAGTTGTTTTAATGCAGCCATAAGCCTGAGGGAGAAAGCATAAATGAAGTACCGCTTTTAGCTAAAAATTAGGAGAAAACATTTTAATTTCTCCAAGCTATTGCAAACTAATAAATACATGAAAGGAACAACCTGGCAAGATAAATTTGTCTCCTGGGTTATCAAACCATTCTCAGCATCTCACTGTGGAAGAAAATCCAAGGTTTAACTTTGAAATCTCAGTGGTGTGCTTGATGCAAGGAACATCTGAAATATGTGTTGTTACAGCTGGGAAATGGAGAAATGGTTTATGTTAAATAATACTTTGAACCGAAGACATTAAAGAGGCAATCACTTGCTTTTTCCATTGTTGTTCAGAAGCTGCAGAACAAAACCCCACAAGATTTTCACTTCAAATGAAGGCTTCCTCTATCCTTTGTAGGATTCCAGGGTTCGTTCAATTGCTTTTCCTCAAAAACATCTTTGATCAAAAACATCAGATTAACCTAAATCTCAAAGTTGGTATCAAGTAATTTTCACTTCAACTCAGGGCACTTATGTTCACATGGTACAGCTATCCAGAGTCAGGGCAACAGGAGGAGGCGTGCTGAATATTGTGAAAAGAGCTACAAAGAGAAGAGATTAGAACCGTAAAGTGCACGACTGTACACACGCACACTCGGAATTCTCATTAATTTTTTATAAGGCAAAATAACCTTTTAGCAACACGTGACTCTTAATATGCAGCATGTTTCACTGTCCTCTTTGCTCAAATGCAATCGTTTTTACTTTCAGGAAGGCAAGATCATGCCAGTCAAATATGAAGACAATTCTCTTATCTGGGTGGCTGTAGATCAGCCTGTGAAGGACAACAGCTTCTTGAGTTCTAAGGTCTTAGAACTCTGCGGCGACCTTCCTATTTTCTGGCTTAAACCAACCTATCCAAAAGGTAACATTTTAAATTATCTTAATGCTGTTTACAACTCTCCCTGTTCATGCATGTGAGGTTCCTCCAAGCCCCTCCACAGGCCTGAGCATGTAACAAGGAGGATAAATCAGGATGCATGTGGCAGTATCTCAGTAATTAGCATGAGAGATGAAAGCAGGAAAATAGCCCATGACTATTGTAGGGAAGGGAGGGAGCAGTGGGGTTAACAGGAGGCAGATTGGGAAGACAATGCCAAGGCATTACCTGCAGCTTTTGTTTATGACACTCTCACTTCTTTCTGCTCTGCCCCTTAATCTCAGTTGTTTGCACCTTCCAATTTTACATTTTTTTATTTCTAAGGCATAGAATCAAGGGACTAAGAAACTGTCATACTGCCGAGTCTTTATTGTGTTCAAACCTAGAATTATGGGACAGCCAAAAGCTGCTGTGGGTGTTGGCTGAGATTCCTCAAATTCAGAGCTTGAATATTAGCTTCCAAGTCCAGTGAAAATAAATGCAGACTCCCTGGAGTTCACAGCTAGGCTGGAGCATATCTTTGAGCTATTTCTGGGTGATGAAGGGCAGGTGAGCTCGGTGGACCTCACTCTGCCTCCTGAGTTTCTCCTGTCCCCCGAGTTCTCTCACTATTTCTACTGCAGTCACCACACTGGCCTCCCAAAGGCCTATTTTGTAGCTCTGGTTCAAGTGTGGGAAAAAAACGCCTTTCTCCTAGCACAGCTGAGATAGGCTAATGTTTTCTGAAAGATTTTATGGAACACTAGCAGACAGCAGCATGGAAATAAAGAAAATATAGGCCTTTAAAAGCACTAAGCTTGGTGGGCACGCAGGGAAAAGACTGGGCAGTTAGTGTTTAATAGGTACAGTTTCATGTTTTGCAAGATGAAACATGTTCTAGATGGTGATGATTGCACAGCAATGTCAATGTACTTCATGCCACTGAACTGTACACTTAAAAATGGTTAACGTGGTAAATTTCATTATGTATATTTTACAATTTTTAAAAGTACCCACCAGGCTTAGGAAGTACAGGTCGCTGATTCTGCCATGACTAACTTATTCTTATGGTTCACAAGTCCCATTCTGTCCCAAAGCTGGAGAAGATGGCTCCTCTCTAGCCTGGGTGAGGCAAATAGGATTCAGTGACAAGCCACTGGCAGTAACTGCCCGGCACAGTGGGCTGGGAAGGAGCTCGAGACCATATGCAGGCTCAGTAAGAAAGAATTCCAAACTCAGTCAACACGGGCTGGCCGGCTGAAGCAGGCAGGAGAGGGGCTGCCAAATGGGCTGTGCTGTTGCCATTCCTTCTCTTGCTCCTGTGGGTGGTCACAACTCACAGTTCTATGATGGCTTGCCAAGTTCTGGCTTTCTGTTCCACACCTGCCGCCACCTGGGTGGGCCTTCTTACTTTCCATCGCCCAGGAACTCCCACCTTTTCCAGTTGAGGACGAGAGTCTGCAGTGCGCTACCAGTTAGGGCTCTCCCTGATCACGCTGAGGACAAGCCTCTTACCCAGAGAGTTCATTCACTCATTTGACAGCCATTCATGAGGGCCTAGTATGTGCCATATACTTGTCATAGGTACTTGAGGTACATCCGTGAATAGAATAGACAAGAACCCATGCCCTCAAGGAGTTTTGCATTGTAGCAAGGGGAGACAGCAAATAAACACTAAATTAAAATAAGAAAATTGTATAATATGATACAAGGTGCTATGGAAAACACCAGTGCAGGGCCATGGGGTGGGCATTGGCGATCAGAACACAGCATTATCGGCAATGCTAAGACAACTGGTATGATGAGTAATTTCTCACTTGGGGAAAGAGCTTCTTCCCTACACATTCAAGATGTGGTTTGGTCCCTCCTAGCCCAATAGCATGAACACATTTTAAGTATTCAATCACCACAACATCCATACAAGAATCACACATATTATGTACACAAGAAAAGTGGAAAACACCTCAATGCCCCCAGATTAGAAAGGTAAATGTTGATATATCCATAAAATGGAATATCATAGATATGAAAAATGGATTCCCCCATCTCTCATAAGTACAGTTATATTTTACAATACAATCAAGAAACTAAGTCCCCCTCTGATGATGCCAGGCTTCCTACCACCTAATTCTAATAAAAGCACCACAATCCAGGGTCCAGTGGCCCATGTCCTTGGATCTTGAAGCCAGCAGGTCATCAGTGTCACACAGCTGTATTATCAGAGACACTGGGAATGACAGCTGGACACAGGTCAGAAGGGAAGGGGGAGAGCTGACGCCTGCTGAGCTCTATGTGTCAGGCATGACACTAGAGCATTACGCTTTGTCCTCATTTAATCTTCGCCAACAACTGTGGGGGTAACTACTCGTTCCCATTTTATAGATGAAGAAACTAAGGTTCACAGAGGTAAGTAATTTGCCTAAGGTCATTTAGTTAGTTAAATGAAGCAGAACTGTGATCAAATCCAGGTCTCACTTGTGCCTCTCCAACCATGCTATCTGTGGAAGCTACCAATGGCTTTAAAGCACATCTGAGTTCTCCTAAATAACAAAGCATGATATAATCCTCATCACCTAATAGTTCAGTGCTTATTATATGCAACACATTGTGCTTAAACCTTTAGACAGATTCTCATTAACCCTATCACTACCCTATGAATTAGATACTATTATTATCCCCATTTTACAGATAATGAAACTGGGTCTCAGAGAGACACCAAAATCCAAGCTGTGTGGTACTTTCTACTTTTTTTTGAGATGGAGTTTCACTCTTGTCACCCAGGCTTGAGAGCAATGGCACAATCTTGGCTCACTGTAGCCTCTGCCACCCGGGTTCAAGTGATTCTCCTGTCTCAGCCTCCCGAGTAGCTGGGATTACAGGTGCCTGCCACTGCGCCCGGCTAATTACTGTATTTTTAGTAGAGATGGAGTTTCACCATGTTGACTAGGCTGGTCTCGAACTCCTGACGTCAGGTGATCTGCCTGCCTCAGCCTCCCAAAGTGCTGGGATTACAGGCGTGAGCTACTGCTCCTGGCCTGTATTTTTGTTAATTGGCAGCCATCAGCCCCGCTGCAGGACCCATGAGGCTGTGTGGTAAACTAGACCCAGGGTGTTCACGCTGGGCACGTAGCTATGCCAACCATTCTGTGATCTTGGCCAAGTCACTTGGCCTTTCTGAGGCTTGATACCCTCATATATAAAAGCATTTGCTTTTTCTATCCCATAGGATTTTTAAAAAGCATAAGCCAAGATATTTCCCTTGCAAACTGTAAAGCTTTATACTGATATAGTCAATCCATTAGGAATACTTAGGGCTATAATTAACAGAATATTTGATCAACAGTGGTTTCAACAAACACAGGTTTATTTTTTTCATATAGCCAGAAGTCTAGAGAGAGGAGGTTTTTGACACTACCTGCTACTCAATGATACGATCAAGTCTCTTCCCAGTTACCATTTTACTACCTGTAGCATGCTGGCTTATGATGCCTATCACTTCACAGTCACAAGTTGACTCTTATAACTCCAGATATCACATCTGTGTTCAAGAAAGGAAAAACAAGACAGAGAAGCCTGTCTGTCCCCTTTTACCGAGAAAGCAAAAGGCTTCCCAGAAACTGCACTAGCATATTCTGCTGATGTCTCCCTGGTCAGATATGTCTCACCTGGCCACTTCTAATTGCAAAGGAAGCTGGGGAAATGAGGGTGTTTTACTTTCTCAGCCCCAGTAGCGAAGGCAGACCAAAAGAAAGGAGGGAGGTGGTGTTGAGGTTTGCCAGGCCATCTTACAATGTCGTCCTCAATTAGTATTACAAAACCAAATTCAGATTATCTGTATGTTTAACTATTAGCCCAAGACTCTAAAACATGCTTTATTATTACAAACATCAGTACAAAAATTTTAAACCATCTGGTTATGCACAAACTTTGATATCCTTTTCTTACGTTTTTCACCCTGATAAACACAGATCTAATTTCCTTAATTATTCAAATAAAGGGATTAACTTACGGAAATTTTTGCAGAAATCCAGAGGGAAAGAAGAGAAGTGGTAAGAAAAATTGTTCCAACTACCACTAAAAGACCACGCAATGGACCACAGGGCAACCCAGGCGCTGGAAGACTGAACAATGAAACCAGACCCAGCATTCAAGAGGACTCACAAGCCTTCAATCCCGATAATCCTTATCACGTGCGTTCCGGTGCTTTATGACATGATTAGACAAATGCATTAAATATAGTGCCAAGGCCAGGTGTGGTGGCTTACACCTGTAATCCTAGCACTTTGGGAGGCAGAGGTGGGCGGATCACGAGGTCAGGAGTTCGAGGCCAGCCTGGCCAACATGGTGAAACCCTGTCTCTACTAAAAATACAAAAAATTAGCCAGGCATGGTGGCACACGCCTGTAATCCCAGCTACTCCGGAGGCTGAGGCAGGAGAATCACTCGAACCCAGGAGGCGGAGGTTGCAGTGAGCCGAGATCGGGCCACTGCACTCCAGCCTGGGTGACAGGGCAAAACTCCCGTCTCAGAAAAAAATAGTGCCGAAATGGTGTTTGTACGTGAGGTTTCAAACGAGCATTTAGGTATTCAACTTAGACTTTTATTCAATTATTTTAAAAATACATTTTCATTTGTTGCAAAGTTTTTTTGTTGTTGTTTCACTGCAACCTCCGCCTCCCAGGTTCAAGCAATTCTCCTGCCTCAGACTCCCAAGTAGGTGGGATTACAGGTGCCCGCCACCATGCCTGGCTAATTTTTTGTATTTTTCTTTTTTGGTAGAGACAGGGTTTTACCATGTTGGGCAGGCTGTTCTCGAACTCTTGACCTCAGGTGATCCACCTGCCTCGGCCTCCCAAGGTGTTGTTGGGATTACAGGCGTGAGCCACTGCACCCAGCCTGTTGTAAGGCTTGTAATTAAGGGTAAGAACACTTAAGCATTACCTCTGTAGTGTAAAATCCTGATTGGCTGGTAACTCTTATTCAGTTGTTTTCTGTGCTCTCTTTTTTGAGTCACAGGCAAATTCATGAAAACAAATTCATATGAGAAATTTGATTATTTGAAAATGTTTCCTAGAGTGCTCCCTGGAGGAAACATATGGAAGTATTCTCCTTCCCCCTTTATATCCACTTTATTCATTCATTCAACAGACAGTCATTTAGGCACCTGCTCTTTCCCAGGCTCTGTGCACAGTCAGGAGAACCTTCTGCCCTCAGGGGCTCTCAGTCCAGTTAGAGGATAGACCCACAGTTAGATGTAAAACGCTTTAGGCTGAAACACTAAAAAGTGATGTTTGTGAGGATGACACAAAGGTGCTAAAAACTCAAATCTTCCACAAAGTATTTACCCTTATACTTTTCAGGGAGTGAAAAAGTAGAATAAGTATTTATTTGTAGCTAGCTTTTAAAATAAAAAATACAGGTTGGGCGCGGTGGCTCACACCTGTAATCCCAACATTTTGGAGGCACCCAAACATTTTGAACCCAGGAGACTGAGGTTGCAGTGAGCCAAGATTGCGCCACTGCACTCTAGTGTGGGTGACAGAGCGAGACTTCAACTAAAAATTAAATAAAATTTTAAAATACATGCAGAAATTTTTTAAAAAACAGTACAAAAGATATATTATGAAGTGTTTTCCTTCCACCCAAGACACCCTCCCCAAAGCAACCTATTAACAATGACTATTTGTCCAGTGTCTTTGCTTAAGTACACACAGACACAAGCACACACACTTTTAACACAAAAAAAGTTTTAACACAAAACTTTTATACCTTGCTCTCTTTCCAGTTACAGTATTTTGGAGACTGTTTTCCTACATAGTACCTCATTCATTTAATGACTACTATTCATTTAATAGTAATTCATTGTATACATAAATGTACAGAAATTTAGTTATGCTTTCATGACTATAAATTATTTCCGTCTTTTGCTGTTTGCAAATACTGCTACAGGATACAATCTTGTATATGACTTACAGGATTTGTACAGGATTATCAACAGTAAATCAAGGTAATGCAGGTGGAGCTCTTAGCACAGGGCTTGGGACACACAGGTGAGCAGTAACTTTCTCAATGTTAGCTATTAGTATTGTGCCGCTTTGTACACACACGGAAGTCTATGTTTAGCATAAATACTGAAGCATGAGTCTGCTGCATTGAAGTAGATTTACATTTTAATGGAGGATACCAAATTGCCTTTCAAGAAATTACATCAGCTATATGTCTGCAAACAGTAATGGAAGGACCCACTTATTATCAAACTTAAAAAAAAAACTTTCACCAATCTCTTGGGTGTAAATTTTATCTCCTGGTTGTTTATCCTGCTTGTCTTTAATTATGCGTAAGGGTGAGCATCTTTTCATATACTAAGTCACCTGCACGTTTTTCTATGTAGCCTATTCAGTCCAACACTATTTCAGGTGTTGCCAATATATTTCCTAGTTTATCATTTTAAAAATATTTTAGAAAACCTTGGAGCAAAAAGTATTTTCTAAATAACCAAAGGCTTATCATAAAATTCAGGACACCATAATACTACCTTAGCTTGAAGAAGAAAAAAAAAGAATCTGAATAGATGAACAAAATTTAATATTGTTTATTCCCTGGGGAGCTGGGCTGGCTGAATCTGGCTCAAGGGGTGAGGGCATCAGTCCCTTTACAGATGGGCAGGATGTGACTTTGCCTTGGATCCAGTCTTGAGTGACCTGTATCCCTTGAAAAACTCCAATTATATCAATTTTTTCCTTTATTATATGTTGGACTTTAAGCAGAAATGTTTTCAAAGCATTTATCTCCATGATCTCAGTCCTTCAGTTATTCCTTTAAAAAAATGTATCTTAGGGTAACAACATGAGATTTCCTCCCAACCTTTCAATCCTAAAACTTTGTCAGACCCTCAGATAAGGAAGTGCCTCAACCGACAGGCCTTTTAACTCTCCCTGCCCCATAATTAATAAATGAGGTTGTTGTCTTTTTGCTGTCCCAGATTAACTTATTCAAGAAATAAGGCAAAGAACAGAGAGAGTCTGATGAATTAAAAAACGAATGCTTTAAGAGTAAGATAATAAATATTTTGATGACATAATTTGAATATAGGTTGTATCAGATCATGTTAATTTTGTGATAATGGCAATCTGGTTGTAAATTTAGGAAAACATCCTTATTTTGGGGGGCACATTCTAATTATTTATGGATGAAATGTCACAATTCCTCCAATTCTCTTTAAACTCACTTCAGAATTCACTTTAAAATACTAGTTTTGTTTTGATGGACATTATTTCCTTATCTTTTGCTGTTGCAGGAAGGGGAAAAGCAAATTTGACAATAGGTTAGCAATTGTCCAGTCTAGATGAGTCTACTGGTGTTCAATATATTTTTTTTCCTGTACTCTCCAGTATGTTTGAAATTTTTTTTTTTTCCAAGACAGTTTCACTCTTGTTATCCAGGCTGGAGTGCAATGGCACAATCTCACTTCAACTTCCGCCTCCTGGTTCAGAAGATTCTCCTACCTCAGCCTCCTGAGTAGCTGGAATTACAGGTGTCCACCAACCACGCCTGGCTAATTTTTTTGTATTTTTTAGTAGAGATGGGGTTGGTTTCACCATGTTGGCCAGGCTGGTCTCAAACTCCTGACCTCAGGTGATCTACCTGCCTCAGCCTCCCAAAGTGCTGGGATTGCAGGCGTGAGCCACTGTGCCTGGCTGAAATTTTTAATAACTTCCTCCCCATCCCAAATTATGATTAAAGACTTTTTGTTTCAACACCAGAATCAGCTAACTTTAGGAAAGAGGCTTAAATTGAATCAAGAATTTTAAGATAAGGGCTTCTTGGGAATGTACTTCAATACTATATTAAAAATAATGCAGAATCTCTACCCTTAGAAGTCCCCTAAAAGGAAAACTAGATATGTAAACTGGGCAGGGTTAGAGGGATGGGAGTTCCTTCCAGTTCTGTAATCTCACCAGCAGTGAAGATGGAGATTTTTACTTCAATATAATCTTGTGTTTATATAACTATACTTACATAAAAAACTAGAAGGTAAAGTTTAAGGTCTTGAATTTTACATGTTTTTGTGGAGTCTTTTCCTGAGACCCCTTTGTCCCTATAGAGATAACATCCCCATTCTGTTACTGAAATGAAAGCAGGAGAAACTAAATGACTTGACAGTGTTCTCAGAGCCAGTGTAACTGGAACTGAAATCTGTCTTTAGCCTAGATTGATGAGTTTCAAAATGTGCTTCTAAAGAGCCTGGAAGCCATTACTGCAAGAAGTCACAAGCATTCAACTGACTTAGAATTAGCAGTGGCAGAAATGCTACTTTTTATCATAATGCTTCCTTTCTTGCTTTCCTACTTAAAACAAGCTGAGTTACTGAGTGGTAACCATGGTTCATTAAAGGCATGGAGAAACTCCAGAATATCATTTTAAAAGACAAAACAACTTTCTAGTCAGTGACAGGTGAGATAGGTGTAGATTCCTTGGTGTCAAAAGGAATTACGAATGACAGCAGGTAAACAAGATCAAAACTCTTTACAGCAGATTACAGTATCTCATAGTAGTGAAAAATTCAGAATCTTACTTAAAAATAACATGCATGCTATGACCTTCTCATTATGCAGTTATCACAAATAATTATCTTTTATTTCACAGCAGCAGGAAGGGGAAAGCATGACATTCGACCCTAGACTGGATCACGAAGGAATCTGTTGTATAGAATGTAGGCGGAGCTACACCCACTGCCAGAAGATCTGTGAACCCCTGGGGGGCTATTACCCATGGCCTTATAATTATCAAGGTTGCCGTTCGGCCTGCAGAGTCATCATGCCTTGTAGCTGGTGGGTGGCCCGCATCTTGGGCATGGTGTGAAATCACTTCATGTATCATGTGCTGTAAAATAAGAACTAGCTGAAGAGACAACCAAAGAAGCATAAGGCATGCTGATGCTGATGGGACCACAAAATATTTTTACACTCTGAGCGGTTCTTCTTGACACTCTTAACAGAATTTTTTTCCAGAACTTTAGTATGTGCAAATGTACTGAAAGGGTAGTTCAAGTCTAAAATGCCATAACCCCTTTATTATTTGTCATTTTTTGCTTTGCTTTGCCATGAGTCTTCCCTTGCTTATATCTTCCAAAGCTATTTTGAAATAAACATGAAAATTTACAATTTGTCAAAAATCTCAATCGTACACGAGTTCCTTTTAATTAAGTCATAATGAAAATAAGTCATTGTTGTTTGTACAGAATTTCTCAATTGTTCTTAATCTTTTTTGCTCTTCCTCTTGTAAACGTGCCCCCAGAATTCCCAGATAAAAACACATAAAAAGGAAAGGATATATAATGGAATCTATCTAAAAGTGAACATTTTTAGCCTCAATGTGGAAGCTCATGGGGAATTATTTGAGTGCACTGGCATGTGACCTGTGTTAAGAGTCACCTCCAGGAAAAGAGCACTAGGATAAAGAAAAATGCAGTCGAAGATAAATCAGACTTGTGGGGAGGAAGGACTTTATTGACATTCTGAAAAGGTGGTCTTCACACCTTTCTCAATCTGTTTTCAATAAGTGGTCACTGGGCATGAAGCAGCATAATGATTTTTACCTTTGTAGTACAAATCAGGCTGCGGCTGTAGTCCAATTACCAATAAGTTACTCTCCTAGTAACAGGGCTGACAGTGTTGCTTGGCAGATACAGCTGAGGAGGAATAGTTTATTTATGTATAATGACATATAGAAAGTCTCTCAGGAACAAGGACTGTCTTTAGAAATTGAAATATTAGATCAAGAAGATGAGCAGGTATATTTTTGACATTTCAGTTTTGCATCCCACAGTTTGAGAGATAAACAAATTTCCTAAGGAAAATAAAAGTAAGTTTTCCAAAACACAGGATTCTGAGATGACAGAAAGGTCTTGATGCCATGATCTCACTACACACTCATATTCAGAATACACCTTATTACTGTGTATTCCACAGTAAATCCCTAATACTGGTGTTTTCTAATTAAAGTCTATAATGATACAATTTTAAAAACCTGGTTTTCAGGTGAACACTCAGATCCCTCCATTTAATGAAATACCCAGCAAGCCTAGGTCTCTGGAGAAAAGAGATGAAGGAAAGACACCGCAATGACATGTAATGGTCACCTTGTTCTCAGGAAGCAGCTACTTCCTACAGCTACGAATTTAACATGTTTAGTCTTTAAAACTGTTGTTACTCTATTAACTAAAGAAATATGCGCCAATGGTTATGCATATCATCTCCCACCCCCATGGCTCAGCAACCTCTACTGGGTTCTAAAAATAAAGAGAATGATTTAGTGATCCCAGCCCAGAAGAGCATATGGTCTCATGAGAGAGACAGATAATCAGGGTTCAGCACACCAGACAAAGCCTTGATAAAGATGGAGGCAATGGGCTCCTTGGAGAATGCCTGCTCTCTAGATTTTCAAGGATGAGCAGGAGTTAGCCAAGTGAAGGTGAGAGATTTGCATTCCAGGCAGAGGGAGTTTGAGTAAGACCAGAGGTGTGAAGCTGCATGGTACAAGCAGGAAAACAGCATTCAGGTCAGGGTAGGAAATATCAAGATGGAAACGTAGGCAGAAGCTTTAAGTGGCATGTTAATTTGGGGATATCATAATTTGGGGATATCGTGTGTGTGTGTGTGTAGGAAATAGGGAACCAATGAAAAGTTGCAGGCAAGGAGGAAGCTGGTTAAGTTTTCACCTTAGATGAATCCCCCTTGGTGGCTTCCCATGTGAAAACTGAGCAGGTGCCATACAGTCCAAAGAGGCATCTTAGTAAGGACAGCAGGTCATAAGGAAAGGTTGCCTTTTGAAAAGATGCTCCCTTTCAAAGCTTCATAATTAGATGAAAATATAGGAGATGGATCATTTACTTCTAACAGGTAAAGGGACTATGTTATGTTATGAAATGTCATTAAAATACCCAAGGACATCAGTTTAACAGAAAAAAAATCAGGATGATTTAAAAACAGAGGAAAAATTCAAGGTTGGATTAAGGACAGGAATGACAAAGGAGACTTAAATTGTATTCAAGGATGAAAATAAGGGTCTACTTTGAAAGAGAAGTGGACAGATGAGCATTCAATAAAATAAGAAACTGCAACAGGGAAGAATTACAAACTTCTTCACAACTTGGTACTAATTTCCCAAATTACTTTTAACCAGGCCAGTCTAAAAGTTGCAAATACAGCTCAGTTTGCTGTGCTGAATCTTGACTGAAAAGTTAGCATGTGTGTATAGACATATGACTTACTGGTACTTTATTACAGGTACTCACTTAATTCTCAGTAGTGGTACAAGCCAATCCTGATGGAACATCTCAAATTAGATTTCAAGGTCCTAGTTTGACTTGGAAAGGAAGGAAAAATGTGACAACTGCCATTTAGTCAGCATACCGAAAATGTTTTTTTTTTTTTTTTTTTTTTTTGAGACGGAGTCTCGCTCTGTCGCCCAGGCTGGAGTGCAGTGGCCGGATCTCAGCTCACTGCAAGCTCCGCCTCCCGGGTTTACACCATTCTCCTGCCTCAGCCTCCCGAGTAGCTGGGACTACAGGCGCCCGCCACCTCGCCCGCCTAGTTTTTTGTATTTTTAGTAGAGACGGGGTTTCACCATGTTAGCCAGGATGGTCTCGATCTCCTGACCTTGTGATCCGCCCGTCTCGGCCTCCCAAAGTGCTGGGATTACAGGCTTGAGCCATCGCGCCCGGCCAAATGTTTTCTTTTTGTTTTCTGGCTGCAAAAACTTATGTTTTTACACCTCCCCTTCCACCAACACCTCAAATAACTGTGACGCTAAAAAAATAGATATACTAAGAATAACCACTTAACCCACTCAACAGTTTCTTACATCAGATTTTATTATACTGAAATACAAGCTACATTTTTACAAAATAGAAATTCTTTGTGAGAGTGGATTGACTTAATTTTATTTCTGTATAAGCTAAATATGTTAATCTGTTTTATGAACATATATTTTATAAAAATGGTCACAATATATTTTTTAAGTTAACTGATTTACTGAGGGAGGAGGAAGGAGTTGACCAAAGTCTACATGCACAGACAGTCCTAAAAGTATATCTCAAACATGAAGATGTAAATTTGAGAGTTAATGATACAAATTTCAGCAAGAAAATTTACAGGCAGAGAGTGTTTTGGTGTTTATAAAAGCTGAACTCCTTTTGAAGGGCTTCTGTACATATATGCATGCTCATATACTATATGCATATATAGGTGTGCTTCATTTTGAGAAAGTCCAGTATAATACTAGCATCAAATTTACAAAACAGGTTTAGTGTTGACTGACTGAAGAACTCACTACAGGTTTTACTTCAACTGCTTACATTCAAAAGTATTCAATTTACAATTTTTAGATACTTACTGTGTAAGGTAAGTACATCTATACATAAATACTTTTATGCATGTATAATCTAAACATAGCAAATAGCTGAGGCTATTTTCTAAGGTGTTTGGCTTAGTGAACCTTTTTTACATCTTAATAGTTTTAAAATCAAATACATAGCAGTCTTTATTTGGGTGTATGTTATCACAGAGGGATAAAAATCAGTAATGGGACTGGAAACAGTATACCCACTAAGTTAAATTAAGTCATTGGTTAAAACACCAAACTATTCAAAACCATTTAAGAGATATGCCCCCACTAAATTCCCTCTGAATTTAGTAATTTACAGATGTTGTGTTTCATATTCCTGTTCTCCCCTTTATGCCCGCTCCTTTGCAAACATTCTTTTCACACCAAATTCTTACAACTGAATCAGAACCACAGAAAATCCAACACCTTTTCTCTCCTCTGCACATGGCTACAAAAATTCTAATAGTAACAAGATAGTTTGAAAGACATACCTCTATACACTTTTTACTAGCATTGCATTTGCAAATTTACTTGAAATTACTTTTTTAAAAAAACAGGATCTCTATGGCTTCCTGTCCTTCAGGGTTCCTTCTAAGGTATGAATGCTAAGAATTTTCTTTTCAGCTGCCTATATTTCATCAGCCTAGATAATTAACCATCTTTTATACTAAATTTGCCATATGCTGACAAAGTCAAAGACCTGTAATAAACTAGACAAACAAAAACTTCCTCTTAGCGGGACTAACGCTGTTAAAGGCAAGTGGTTTCGTTTCCATTAAAACTATATTCCTGCCTGTTAAGTTACTGAGGTAACTCTAAAAAATTAAGTAGTAAAAAATATCTCCATGGGATGTGCCCTAACACAAGTTCTACTCTGCCTATTCAACCAGCACCATAATTTTTAACATTCACTTAGCACCTATGGGTAATTAAACAGGCATCATCTGAGAATATTCCAGTCGCTCAATAGTACCTCATTATTAATTAGTACTATGTCATGGCTCTCTATGACTCTTTCTCTGCTCAGTTCTAGTAATATCTTAGCAGTGATAAAGTAGTGTTTTGCCCAAGTAGTTATTCCTATTTCGTTTCACTTTGACTGAAACAAACATCTGATTTTCTTTCATCACGTGCTGTCATATGGCGATATGGATTCAATAACTTAATCATAATGACCCCCAAGGTTAAGAAGAAAAAAAGGATCATTCAGCATCTCTCTTCTAACTTTTACGTTAAGAGGGAAACAAAACCTTCAAAGGAGCAAGCCAAGTAGCTTTTCCCCTTATCTAAACGTTACTGGAAATAAGGCATTAGAGGTGATTAGTGCTAATCTCACTTCTGTTCTCTCCTTTACTCCTTGACATCACTGTGTTCTACATGCAGTCCTCCAGGTCACCTGCTTCAACACCATCAGTTCATTCACAACAAAGATTTACTGGACCCTCAAACGTACTGATTCAAAATCTCAGGAGGCAAGTAATGAAGGTCTACATTTTTAAACGTAAGCTTCCCAAGTGAGGGTTACTCACCAATAAGCTTAAGAACCACTACCCTATATATTATACAAAATAGCTGCCCAATGTTATAATTTTAGTTGTCTTGATATCAGAAGGTCAGCAGAGGATTAGGGTAAATCAGCTAAGCATGGTGGCTCATGCTTGTAATCCCAGCACTTTGGGAAGCCAAGGCGAAAAGGATTACTTGAGGCCAGGAGTTGAGAGAGCAGCCTGGGCAACACCGCAAGACCCTGTCTCTACAAAAAAAATTTAAAAATTAGCTTA